CTAATAAAGATATTGAAATAATATTCGACTTAAATAGGGTTTTATATATACATACACGACTCTAATAATTTTTTTCGGATCGGTCCATAATTGGTCATAGCTCCCATATAAGGTCCACTTCCGATAACAATGTAAACGCACAGAGAGAATTATATATAACACATCCTTGATATAGTAGAGATCAAGAACAAGGATTGTCCAACAGAGTGGAAATGCAGAGCATTTCGAACTCGACCACCTGAGTTTCGATGTTACCTTGATGAAAGACCGCCCCTTAGTGTTATTGCAATACCAGGGAAAGGTGGTGCTACCATTACCTCTCTTCAGCTATAAACTAGGGAATTTCGTAGTTTGTTTTGTCCCGGTTATTGATGAGGTCCCTTCCGAGTGCTCAAGGTGGCTGTGGTTTAAACCCAAACTCGCGAAAAGAGAATGTTGGTTATAAGACCTATACATGGTAAAGTCTATAGTTCGGGATAAGTTCGGTACTGTTGCCGAGACAATAAATACTCCACAGAGGAGTGACTGTGGGTCTAAACCATGGAAATGAGTAGCTTGTAAACGCAACTAATGTTTTTGCATCTCAAAAGGGGCAGCAATGGTTAGAGACTAGACAGCTCGATATTAATAACTACCCCTTCCACCTGGATGGACATCTTTCTCCCACATTGGGCGGACTGTCAGAAGAAATATACTGATTGTTTCTCTTGTCATTGAGATATGGCAATTAGTAGAGTAGTCCGGCTGAATCCTTAAGATTCCGGCACCGGTTAAAAGACCTATCTATATACGGTTAAGTCTATAGTTCGGGATAAGTTCGGTACAGTTGCCGAGACAATAGATACTCCACAGAGGAGTGACTGTGGGTCTAAGCCATGGAAATGAGTAGGTTGTAAACGCAAATGATGAGACTAGACAGCCCGAGTACTTGAGCAAATTGCTTATACATGGATCGGTAGAACTATGTACAAGCCACCGGAGTGTATGAAGCACAAAGAGGCGGTAGGGAGTCGTCTAATAAGCTCACCCTGTGGTTGTAAAAGTACCAGGAAAGGACTTCCACTTACTCCCTACATGCAGACATACATATATGGGTTTCGAAAGTTGCTTGAAATGAAATCATTTCATAATCAGACAGTCTGATGAAAGCACTTCGCTAAAAATTTAACTACATTCTAATGAAACTTCTACGCATTGATACCGTTTAAAACTGTTAATCGGTAATCCCTAACCATTAAATCTTATGAATCAACAAGTTAATAATATGTTCTTTACTCAACTTGTTGATTTACATTACTTTTGACTCATTAAACATCTAGTAGACTACTTTCACCCAATCACATCTCCCAACATTTGCTATAAATAAATTTATGTACATAAATAATAATAATAAAAAAAGAATCTCAAAAAATCAGATAAAATCAGAAAACTTTGTTGTATAAACAACAGATTAATTGACAGAGTTGATTGTCACACATTTGTATTTGTTGGATTTCTATACGCCAGTTTAAGAGTGAGTGAGGGAGTGAATGTGAATGTTTTGTTTCAATTGTATTGACCCCTGCACTTAAATCTGATCGCATACAAGGCTGTTTAGGGGTCTTTACTTTGCGTATAAAATACACACAATTGACGGACTGATTGACTGACTGCTGGCTAATAATAATAATGTTTGTTCGTATAGTTTATATATGCACGACACAACTCAAACACACAACAGAAAAACACTTGTCATCAACATCATTATCATAGTTTAGACAAATTAATTTCAATTAAAATCCCCAGCAGATGTGGACGAAATAAGAAAATAATAAAAAAAAAAAATAAGTGACCACAAAAAAGAAACACTAACGACGTAAATAACAATAATAATAAGAGTGAAAAAAAAATATAAAAAAAAAATAAATTGAAATTACTGAAAATAGAATATTCCAGCACCTAAAACAAAAAAAAAAAAAAAATAATTCAGAAAAAAACTTTTCTCAGATTTTCCAAATCCCTCCGGCTCTGACAAGTTCAGTTTAACTATATTAAGCAGAAGATGTATTCACATTTATTCCGATTTAAATTGAGTTTTGTACAACAATCATCAATTACAAGCAATTTATAATGGGCTTTCTTTAATTTATCTTGATTTTAAATTGCATCTGAATAAGAATTTCTTTCTTATATTTTTGTACAAAATTTTCTTTCCTCTTTTTGGATTTTATTATTATTTATTTTTTCCAAACGTTTTTTTATTCTTCAGTTGTTGTTTTGTACACTCTTCAATACACTTGATTCTTTTCAATTTAGTTTATTTACCGATTTTTTTAAATTGTTCTTTTTTTTTCAATTTTTTATTATAAATTTTTTAGTTTTTATGTTTTAGTTATTGTTATTTTTATATTTTCTTGTTTGCCGTTTTTCACAACCGCTCTCGTTGAATTCCCGTTTCGTACTGAGGAATTGTTGCAAACTCCTGTCCAGTAATTGTTGTATGTCGGTGGTGATGATAATGACGACGATGATGATGTTGTCTTTGGTATGTCTGTTTATGCTTTATTTGTTTGTGCTTGTTTTAGTTTGTAACATTTGCCTCATCGTTTTTTGTGGTGGTAGTTAGTAATCGTCGTCGTCGTCGTTGCCGTTTTCATCGTACTTACTTATGTATACATCATAGTGGTTTTACAGGTGTGTTAACAACTTAAGCAGATGTGAGAAACTATAGATTTCGACCGATTTGGAAAAGGTTCCCCCACGTCAGACTGGTCACAGTACGAGTGCAATACTAAGAACTACCGCTTCCACCTGATAGACAGACGTCTGTATCTCACATTGGGAGGACCGATTTTGCAAATGGTCCCCAATGTCAGACGGGTCACAGTACTAGTGCGATACTTAAAACTTCTCCTTCCATCTGATGGACATCTGTCATCTACAGTAGGCGGACTATCAGTTTTTGATCCGAAATGTACAAATTTCATGTCCATTTGCCAAAATACTATTGAAAAGTAACAAGAGCCAAGAACGAAGGTCCATCTTTAGACGAAATTAAATCGGAAATCAATCGTCTATTCTAAATTGGGCGGCTTGATGATCTGTTTGCTCTTAATGGGACGTTAGTTTATTGTCCTATCAGTAGGCCGAAAATGCAAACATCCTCTCAATGATGTCCGATGAAAAGGAATGTCCCTCGTATCCGCTTCAAGGCTCAATAATCTTGGGAGACCTTGTTCCCTAGGTAGAGATCTCAAACTGTGGTGAATCAAATATTACTAGTGCCGAGGTTAGTCAATTGGTATCAGGGTTACCTAATACCAGAACTATTGGAGCAACAAAAACCGCATGGAAACTAGTTTAAACTTTTTGAGTAAATGGAGTATTTCCTGTGGACTCAGTGTAAACACTGTTTTATAGAGTTATAGTATGGTGGCAAGCAATGGAGAGTACTTCACACTGTGCAACCATTGAGTGCACTACCCCCACGTCAGACTGATCACAGTACGAGTGCAATACTAAGAACTACCGCTTACACCTGATAGACAGACGTCTGTATCTCACATTGGGAGGACCGATTTTGCAAATGGTCCCCAATATCAGACGGGTCACAGTACTAGTACGATACTTAAAACTTCTCCTTCCATCTGATGGACATCTATCATCTACAGTAGGCGGACTATCAGTAGAAATATACTGACTGTTTCTCTTGTCATTGAGATATTGCAATCAGCCCGGCTGAATCCTTAACATTCCGGCACTTAACCCTCAATGCCTAAACGGCATTTTGTTTTTAGTATGTTTTTGATCCGAAATGTATGAATTTCATGTCCATTTGCCAAAATACTATTGAAAAGTAACATGAGCCAAGAACGAAGGTCCATCTTTAGACGAAATTAAATCGGAAATCAATCGTCTATTCTATATTGGGCGGCTTGATGATCTGTTTGCTATTAATGGGACGGTAGTTTATTGTCCTATCAGTAGGCCGAAAATGCAAACATCCTCTCAATGATGTCCGATGAAAAGGAATGTCCCTCGTATCCCCTTCAAGGCTCAATAATCTTGGGAGACCTTGTTCCCTAGGTAGAGATCTCAAACTGTGGTGAATCAAATATTACTAGTGCCGAGGTTAGTCAATTGGTATCAGGGTTACCTAATACGAGAACTATTGGAGCAACAAAAACCGCATGGAAACTAGTTTAAACGAGCCAAAAACAAAGGTCCATCTTTACACGAAATTAAATTGGAAATCAATCGTCTGCCCCATATTGGGCGTCTTGATGATCTGTTTGCTCCCAATGGGACGGTAGTTTATTGTCTAGCAGTAGGCCGAAATTTCAAACATCCTATCAATAATCTCCGGAGACCCTATTCCCTAGGCAGAGATGCCAGACTGTGGTAAATCGAATATTACTAGTGCCGAGGTTAGTCAACTAGTCCGAGAACTATTGGTGCTACAACAACCGCATGGAAACTACTCTAAACATATAGAGTGAATGGAGTGTTTCCTATGGACTCAGTGTAACTATGTTGTTTTATGGAGTTATAGTATGGTGGTAAGCAATGAAGCCTACTTCAAACTGTGCAACCATTGAGCGCATTATGAGAAACATTACCATCCTTATTACAAGAGAAACGCCGGCCAAAGTACTGCTAACCATGTTGAACCAGCTGTCTTAATGGCAGTTCAACTCGCCCTCAACTCTGCGATCAGATTAAATGTCTGTGGTCCGTGGTCTGGTCACAGAAATTATGGGCACTGTAGAATTATAAAACACTTCGATTCGAATCACAACATTTGAATGTTGACTATTGCATTACGAAGCCTTCGATAATCGCTTTCGTACCAGGATTCCACAAAGGAATTCCGAATTCCCCACCCACCTCCAGGTGTAACAAGAGTTTACACTGATGGCTCCATGAAGAGTGGAAAAGTGGATTGTGGTTACTTTGTTGAAGGACTTGGTATTAAATCATCCTTCAGACTGCATAACTATTATAGTGTACTTCAGGATGAACTATCTGCCATCAAACGAGCAGTGAATAGGCTAAGGTACTATCACATATCGAGAGATACATATACATATGTATATATACTGACATATATAGAATGCTAAATGTGAAAGCGAGACATTCTAGGATAACTATTATATAAGTCCCTGGTCATGACATTTGTCAGGGTAACTGTATACCTTTCGAATTAGCCGGAAACGGCGCGTTGTTGGTTGAGGAAGAAGTCGACGCCTCTTTGCTATTGCCCTACGTTCACTGATAGCAAACCAGTTGGTTTAGTTCTGGAAGCAGAGAGTGAGATCAGAATACACTCCTGTTACCACTAGGGTTACACAAGAGGACCAACTTAAATGGACCCAAATGAGTTGCTTATGAAGCAGCTGCCCTCAATACCTAACAAGAACCGCTGCCCTCGATACCTAACTTAACAAGAACAGCAAGGTAACGGGTGCAAGTTGGTTGCATGTAAACCTAAATTTGGCAACAAGCCTTCGGGTATGAGTAAGATTCTCAGCGATAGGGGTATCAAAGCGTGGCGAGTATCTCTGCAGCCACTTGTGCCCATGCTGATCTAAACAGTCCTCTGCAAAGCTGACCTCGGGCGACAATACTGTCTGCCTTGTGCCGTGTTTATAAAAGGACTTGTCGACACAGATCTCGGTGCCCTCTGTCGCATACTAGAAAAGGCGTTGAACTCGTTTACGGGCCCTTCCAGTATATCTCACTCGGTACAAAGCACTTTTAAGAAAGGCATTAATGAATCGGTAAATGCATTGTGGAGCGAATGGGCCAACATCCTCCTGGCACGGCAAGAGGTCTTCGATATTCCAACCAAGGCAAAAGTTGCTAAGCATGCTGCCGCGGCGCCTAAACGCTATCCGTAGAGGAGTTGCAAGCTGACGTTGTTAATAGGCCTTTTCAGTAGGCTCATGCTGACCTCATAGACCCAGATCCATTGCTACCATAGCCCAGCGGAAATTCTTGTGTGAACCTTCATTTACCTACCCATGATTGGAACGAATGAAGGTCTTCACTCCGATCACTTGATGGACATCCCTTAAACACCATTCCATAAATACCTATTTGCTGATCAGCAATAGTAATGAGACAATAACTAATTAGCAAATTACTTTCGCCTTTCTAAAAAGGGAGTCGAACTTAGTTTGAGAACATTTTCTTTCAGCGGTTTTGATTTAAGCCACAGCAACCACGTGATTCCTAAGGTTCCTCTTCAAGGCTCTCTAGCCCTTTTCTTTGATCGGCGCTCAGCGGCTTCAGAAGCCTATATCTTTTGAATCGATAGAGATATTATATTGTTTCTGATGATCCTCACAAAATCACTTTTACGCTCTTAACTAGATAAAAAACGCCCGTATAGTTGTAAATTAGACGAAAATACGTATTATCTCTCTACCATTCGAGTATCGGTTCGTAATAGACCCTACCCTTCACAGAAGGTTCCCTTCAGAAAATGGCCTTAACACTCATAACTGGTTTAATAATAGCAGTAAAGCAACAAAATTTGTGGGAACGAAAATTTTATGAGAATCGGTCCGTAATTAACTCTATCCCTCTTAAATGAGGTACCATGCACAAACTAAGCGTTGAACATGCTTTTATAAATAACATTTGCTATTTATCTTACCACCACTGTTTACTATACATAGGACTGAGTATATTCGAATAAGTGTGAGTAAGTAGTTGTTGCTCATACTGTTTTGGTGAGTAGAGTGTTTGTGTGTAGTATGAGATCTCATTATTTGTTATTATGCCTTTTGCAAAATTGTGCAACTGTATCAAAGCTTTTTTTGGTTTCCTACAAATCCCCCTGGTCCGTCAATACAATGCTGAAATAGTGGTTTAAAAACCAAAAACAGCAACACAACGCAATCCAAAAGTGTAGAATCCAGTGTAAGTTCATGTATGTATATAGAGTGAATGAGTGTGTGTGTGTGTGTGGTATGAACGCATAAGTCGAGTCCAGTCCAGTTTTGTAGTGCAAGTATTGTAAGAGACTTGATAAGTAGATTTTTGGCTACCGTAAGTCTCGTGTTTTTAATAGTCATTGTCTGTTGGATGAGTGGATAGATGGTTGGATGGTTAGATGGATGAAAATTTGGCTGGCTGGCTGACTTGACTTGACCGACTGGGTTGGTTGGCTGGTTGGGACTTTTTGCATTTGTTCATAAGATTGCTTGTCAGACTGTCTGTCTGTTCAATTGTCTGTTAGTCTTGCGGCTGTTAAAATTCAATTATTGTGATTTTATGATTTTAATTTCTGTTCAACGTTTCTTTCTCATCATCTCCAACATCACCATCGTGTTTTATGTTTAGTCTGTCTGTCTGTCTATCCGTCCGTCCTTCTATCTATCTGTGGAGCTGTGTTTTATTCATTTCTTTATTATCTTTTTTTGATTTGATTTTTGTTGTTTTTTAACGAGATGTTATCATTTCTTATGTTCTTTGTAGTTTAATGATTTTGTGGGTTTTTCATTTAATTAGAAT